TAATAAATAAATTAAAAAAATTCTTTTCTTTATTTTTAATACGAAACTTACCTTTTCTTTATATTATTTTTAACTTACTTTTTCTTTTTTCTATTAACTTATTGCACTATTAACACTTTTGTAGATTTAATGTTCGCGCTCTTATGCGCCCGCCATCTATTGGTGCTTATTTTAAGTTAGTATTGTGCGCTTTCTCTCTTATACTTATTAGAACATGTGCACACGTTTTAAAGATCGCGCTCTTATGCGCCCGCCCTCTTTTGACATTTATTTGAATTATATTTGAATTTGAATTTGAGAAAAATTGYCGACTTGACCGGGGCTCGAACTCGGGACCTACCTGCTGGAAAGCGGGACCTTATGCCGCTGAGCCACCACCGCCGCCGACATTTTCAATATATTTTACACAAAATTTTCCATAAATTTATTTTTCTCATTTTTACAACGTTTTTGTACTTTTCTATGTCTCATGAACCCCCAAGAGTGCAAATAGTTCAATTTTAAAGTTTTTAATTTTTTTGAGTTTTGTCGAAATTTTGGCCGATTTTCGTAACGCGGAGCGGTTTATATTGTTAATAACTTCGGAATTATTGACGTTCGTTCATTTTATTTGGTACCGTTGGAAAGCAAATTTAATTTTTTATCATATAGAAAAAATTAACAATCAAAAATTCGATAGTTTTGCAAAATTGTATCAAAGTAAGTTTTAAGACATACACTCACTAAAATTATACATTTTATTTGTTTTTGACCAAAATTGTCTATTAAAATTTTTGAAATAAAACAAAAATAAGAAAAAATAAATAACTATAGTAGATTTTTTAGTGTACTATAATACATTTCCAATTTATTTAACGTCAACATAAGATAATTACGATTTACTATATATATGTATATTGCAATTTATTGGTTTGCAAACTCAAAACATATGCAAACAACAACTGATGTGTCGAATCATCAACTAGTTTGGACGCAAATGAGATAATTATTATTTAATTATAAACAGCAAAAGTCTTTAAATTTTAATTTAGTGTTTCGAGGTTGTACGTCATAAAACTTTGTCGAAGCTTTTATAAATTTACATTAAATCCAAATAGGAAGCAAGAACGCCTTTGTTCCGAACAATAATCAATTAAATCAGGGATGGATCTGAAAGCTCGAACTTTAGATGCATCGAAATGCAAAATTGGACTTATTTGTTGTACAAAGTTGCAATTTTGTCGGGAACAACGTCAGGAATTGTAAATTCTATTCTATTCTATTTAATAGGAGAAAATTTTATCAGTGTTGTATTGGAAACCAGTTTGTGAATACCACAAATATTCAGATAATGTCTTATTCAAATGCATTTTACTTGTTCAGAATTGTTATTTTTATTTCTTCAAATTTTTCTACACAAAGTAATTCATTAGAAATTGGCGTCTTTTCAGACTTTTTACTGAAACCAAACCACTTAATTAGTTTGATAAATTGTCACTGGCACGTCTTCAAAAATATTTCACAGTTTCGTAAAATATTGCAGTTAAAATACACAAAATAATATTAGCTACAAATCAAAATTTTCTACAAAACGAGTCATTTAATTAATTAATTATATTAGTAAGTTTCGGATTATATACACGGAAAAATCGTATAATATGCGCATATACGGGATGAATATAAAGTATGGAACCAAGCGGTTTTATTTTTAATCATTTGCCTCCAGCAAATAATAATTAATATAAATTAAAGTAATATGAAAAATGTGATCGTATTTTCAGAACGAAATTTTGTTTTGTTTTTGAGTTATGCGATTTTTTTTGTCAAAATTTACAATTTATGTGTAAAAATTGAAGCTTTTATGAGAAAAATGATTTTATAGTGGGTTGCCATTTAAAAAAAAATTTTTTTTGTAGAACTCAAAAACAAAAGTAAATTTCGAAAAATTTTATTCTTGTTATATTATCACATTTTTATAGTACTTTATCACTCATCAATTAGTTTTTTCAAAAAATAAATAGTTTAAGCAAAAAATGTTTGGTTCCATACTTTTTATT